ACGCACGCACACGCAACGCACCTTTCTGCCCGTGCTCCATCGGTCTCCGCCGCACGCCTGGCGGCAGTCCTCTGACGAGCAGCAGCTCTCGCCCGGTCAAGCTGTGGGCTGCCTAGGGGCTCCCTCTCCCCGTGGCTTTGTCTGCGCCGCGAGTCTGTGTGCGTCTCTGCCTCACGGAGGGAGTTCGGGTCAATCGGCCCCAACGGACGTCTACTCATCATGCAATTGCCATGCCATGCAGGCCGCTGTGGCTGTGTCCGCTCTGCGCTGTTGGTGTGTCGCTGTGCCCGCTGAGCGCGTGTTGTCTGCTGTGCGTGTGTGTTCAGTCTGCTCGCTGAGCGCGTGTTGTCTGCTGTTGCTGTTTGCTGCTCTGCTGTGTAAAAAAAAAAAGTGCGCCCTGTAGTCACAAATCAAGTCCTGTACTCTAAAACCTAGTTTAAGCGAACACAACACACGCACGCACTTTTTTTCCTGCATCGGCCCCTATATTGCGCTGAGCCCTCTCAGGCAAGATTAGAAATCTCGCTTCGCTCGAATAAAAAATATCAGAAATTAATGATGTGAAACCGAAACAAGTCCCTCTTGAGACAGGCAAGTCAAAGACTGCTGCACACGCTTACTTCGGTGTACAGCCGGTAGAAGATTCAATGGAGACGTACGTACCTTCTGATTATCATGCATGATTTTCCCGAGCCAATCCTAGATGATTACGATTCGTACCGAGTGGACACTGTGTGCGACAAATCGATTATCTGCCTCCTAAGGTATATATACTGCATGTAATCAAGAGAATCGCCGAAAAGTTCAGCCTTTATTGTTTTACCACAATCCAACGGAACGAAAAGCGTCCGTAAAGGATGTATCCTCCTCGGCTCTGTTGGAGTTGTTCAGCCTGCCCATATGTGGTAGTTTGCATAAGATATCACAACTCCTGGGGCGATTTCGAAAGCTCAATTGCTCGGTAAGAAAAACAACGACGGCGCCGAGAATGGCCTTGTTGGAATCTTCTCTTCGACAGCTTTCCGAAAACGCATCGGATTGTTTTGAGTCGGCGTGCTTGTTTGTCATTGTGGAAGAATCTAGCTTTGAAATCTTGTCAAGGGGTGTGGTGTATTGCGCAACCTACGCTAGGTAGTCGAGTGCTCGACTTATGGAGGCATGGATAACGTATAGATTGCCGCGTGCCCACTATTGCTTCCCCGATTGGTTGCTTTTCTCAAATGTCCGGTTTCTCTGCTGGTGTCTCGGCACGATGGCGTCACGAACGGAAACAAACACCAATATTGCAATTTAGTTGGGGAGGAACAACAGTTTTTTTGCACAAGGATCTCTTAGAGGCGGAAACAGGAGCAACATTTTCGTTTGCTCCCCTGACCCCGTTTGTCCTCACCACAATGACAGGTCAATACAGCAGTCAGTATACCGCAGAGCACAGGCGTAATCCACCCACCCTCGCATCACAAAACATGTTTCGATTTGTTTTGTTTTTCGCGATTCCGGCTCATTGTACTGAGGCTGTTGCCGCCCACTTCCACTTGCAGTGCACGCAAAGCACACGTGACTGCACTCCACAACACGAAACACACGCCGTTCAACTACTCGTACACTCAAATCCGAATGGTACCAACACACTCGTACAATCCTAGGAACTGGACTCGACACACACTCGAGGTTGATGGTGCTCCCAACTGCACGTACTTGTGCCAGAAGAAGACACATTGGGAACATTTATCTGCAGGCTAGCGGAGTGTTGTGCCCCGCCAAGGCATCACCCTTGAAAAACGGTGACCTTGATCACTCAAAACACTCGTGCATGCGTACAAAGCAACGGGGCAGCCACAAAAAACGTCAAACTTGTCTGTAGAAAAGTGTGTAGAAAAAGAACGCCTTTACATCTGTGTCTCTCTTGCTCCACCCTTTGGCCTCTTGCTGGCCTGTTCTTGTCTGCTTCACTCCCTTCTCTTCCTCAATCTCAACCCCCCCC